ACTTCTAAGTACAGTGTTTTATGGGTTTAAACCATGTGGCTAAGAAGAGGCTGGGTTTTGAGATCTGCCAGGATTAAAGGGACCTCTACAGAGAATTTATTCTGCATAGCTTATTTCCGGATGTCATAGAAACCAGTATCAGGAGTGACCTCTGGAGAGGGTGAATCAAGTTCAAGAGGAAGAAACTCGCTGTTTACAGTATACCCTTTAAGTTATGGGCCTTTATATGTGCATCATTTGTAGCAAAATTAAGAAATAAATATTACAATTAAGGCTAAAGAGGTAGACTCACCCTTAACATCTCACCACACAAGCATTAGAACCCCAAGATAGATGACCCCTGAGGAGGAATGACTATCAAGATCATGCTTTGAACATATATACCGAGCGAGCGAGAGAGAGAGAGAGAGAGAGAGAGAGAGAGAGAGAGAGAGAGAGAGAGAAACAATACACAGTCAAAAAATAAATTGGTAAAAACACCAAATTAGTGAATTCCCAGGTTCTCTGCTGTGACACAGTCTCCTCTTATGTGTTCACAGAACTCCTATAATCAGAAAGGAACATTCTCCTTAAGTTAGTACAGACCGAAGTCAAGACAGAAGTCAGGACAGACAGATGTGAAACAGTATCTTCTGGACATGACAGAACCACATGACTCATGAGCCGGTGGCACCTATGCTAATATACACAAGCCAAGCCAATCAGCATCCCCACACGGAGGGGAAGGAGCTCAGGTATCATCCTGGTTAGGGGTGGGGACTCTCAATGACTGAGGATCTTTGGACAACCAATGGCTTTTGGGTAAGTCCATTTTCTTTGTGGGTGTGGCCTCTGGTGTCTCAGTCATGCTCTCTGGTGGATAGCCCCCACACTAGAAATATCTAGGCAGCACAAATTGGACTCAGGTGGTTATAAATACAGAGAAGAAACAAAGTTAGGGAGGTAGAGGGACTGGAGTGGCTTTGAGTGGAGTAATGAGCAGGAACAACAGGGGCAAATATACTCAAAATACATTGTATTCAAGTCTCAAATAATAAAAAAAAAAAAATCAAGTTCTCAATTCTTTATAGTACAATCTCAGTGTTCACTTCTGAACTGCAGATGGAAGGTCTCTTATTGGGGAAATCCCAACACTGAGTACTCAAAGACAGCATATTCCAGCCCAAACCCTCCTCTTCATTTCCTCATCCCCCCGCCCCAAGCTCCCTTTTCCTCTGGTATTTGTAGTAACTACTAGACATAACATGCCATTTACTTTCTCAATAAAAACTTTACCATTACTGGAAGGGGCCCTCCTCGTCTTTAACTACAGTCAGGAAATATCGTTAAACCACTTCCTACAGGGTTAAGAACATGAAATAGACACACTCATGCTCAGCTTCTCCCTAGCTCAACACTGAACATGGAACATGGGAGCATGGGAACGGTCCAGCTAATGATCCGTCTTAATTATTCTCCACACTTCTGCAGCCCCCAGCAGTCTTTCTCAAACACAAACACGGCAACATGCTACAGAACCTTGGACAGTTCCCAGCACCTACCAAAACGGTTTGTCCCACGTTGACAAATGACTGATGTGCCCTGTTGACTCCCATCCTCTGATAAAGGCTCTGCCCTCGTCACTCTGCTCTACAGAACCTGCTACTGATACTGTCTGCTACCTCCACAGCCTTGTGTTTTCTCTTCCCTTGGCTTGGGAAAGCCTTTTTCTCTTTCCACCAGACCTCTCCAAAACTGAGCTCTCTGCTCACCATTCCCAACTTCTATTCTGGGTTCTATTCTCTCTGAATGGTTCTATCCTCTGGGATTCTCTTCTAATGCTCTGCATATACTCAAGCAATACCCCTAAACAAACTCTTCTGGTTATTTGTGATTCTATCTCCCCTGCCAGATGTCAACTACCTTAAAAAAAAAAAAAAAAAAAAAAAAAAAGAAAGAAAGAAAAGAAAAGAAAAGAAAGAAAACTATATTGTATTCATCTTTAAATCCACTGTACCTCCCTGCAACACTGCACATAAATATTGCTGGATGTATTGGCTGCAAGTACTTTGGTAAAAACGTAACACATTATCCGAAGACATTATTATAGACTTCTGAGGCTAAAATCTCAGTTTTTAGCCCTCCCTTTCTACATACCTATTGGCACGCTATCATGGTCTCAGGAGGGCCAGTTACTCAGAGAGAGCTAACAAAGTGCCTGCTATTTGTAAACAGGGCCATTTGTAAACCCTCTGGGCTAGATTTAGAGATTGCCTTTCTAACTCTGACAACACTCCTTTGAGCTCTCGGCTAAGAAGCATTTCTTTTCCAAATGTCTGGAGCCCTATAAGTAACCTTTGTTTACCCGAAACACTTTCAGAGAAGCTGAACAGAGCTAAAAATAAACAATGTAGCGACCCTACAGGGGCCCACCTGGCCTGCCGCTCATGCCAGCATGTAAGAGGGGGATGGGTCACCGGAAGTTCAGCTCTAATCCCTGCCCACCTCTCAGGCCATCAGCCACTTAACAGCTCGGACCTCGAGGGCTCTCTGCTCCCCAGTGAAGACCTTGGCAGCCCATTAATCACGTGCTTATTCAAGGAAAACAGCATTATAAGGAAAGTGATAACTTGAGTGCCTTGAAGAACAGTGGGCAAGAAATTAGCCTAAAATTGGGGTGAGGCATCCATGTGAAGGGAACCCAGGGAGGCAGACAACCGTGGCAGCCCCCAGCCTCAGGTCTTTCCTTCCCTGCCCCCTCTTCTGACTTGGAATTCTCTACCCTGAAATATTTGCACTCACATCTCTGCTCTAATGTTGTCTGTCAAGGGCACCCTGGAGACCCACTGCAAAAGGCCAAACAATTGCTTCTGCATATCCTCCTGCTGCCCTCATGGTACCTACCCAGCACTCCTCAGGCGACTGACACCTCCGGCCATGTTATTTATTACCTGTCTGTTTACATATAGACCATTGCTCCCCATCCCATCAACCCCGGGGCAAGATGTGGTCTCTTTCCCAAACTACCCCAAGTACATAGGTGTTTCCCAATAAGTACTACATTTTTAAACGTGGTAAGTAGAAACTAGGGCATCTGGCACTTGCAGACTATACAATCCCATGTATGATAGGGTTAACTGTTTAACCATTGGGATTCACAGTTCACCATCCCCACACCCACTGCTGCCCACCCAACATCATATGACACAATCTTATGGTTTCTCTGTCTACTTTTAGCACCCTCCCCCAAAGGCAAGGAAAGAAAGGACGTAAGGTTTTTGGGCTTTTCTAAGTAAAGCTGATGGGCAAAAAAAAAAAAAAAAAAAAAAAAAATGCTTCATTGCTTTCTGGAAGTGATGAACAGAATGGGAGAAAATTCAAGAAGCTAAGATCGCCAGGCGGTGGTGGCACTCGCCTTTAATCCCAACACACAGTTCAGTCAGGCAGATCTGAGTTCCAGGACAGCCTGGGCTACACAGAGAAACCACATCTCAAATTAAAACCTAAGGAAGAAGAAGGGGAAGAGGACGCTGAGAATTGCAGAAGGAGAACAGAATTTGAGTTTGAGAATAATGAATAAAGGTGAGAAGAGCTTAATAAGGAACTGTGACATATGCAGGTGACCCTAACCCTGAACCCATGGGGAACCTCCCACCAAGAGGCACATGTGTCCTGACTGTGTGCCAACGTTTTCCTTCCGTTTCTCATCCGCAATGGGGGATACCGAGGCTGATCTGGCCATCTTCCGCAACCAGGCAAGGCTTCCAGTAGAGGGCCATCAACCCAGCCACCAAACTTTCAATCTATTTGTCCTGCCTGCAGATGTGCTGGAGAGTAAAGGTGGCTCAGAGCTAGTCAGAGTGGCCAACCAATGACTGAAACTTAGGCCACAAGAGGGAGACCCACACCTGACACTGTCTGGAAGACCAGAAACTAGAGGCTCCATAGCCCAGGTTAGAGCCACGCACATGCAAGGGGGAAAAAGTCAGTCATACTTTGCTATACTTGTAGACTGGAGCCTAACATAATCAGAGAGGCTTCATCCAGCAACCAACCAGAGCAGATGCGAGACCCAGAGTCAACAGTTAGGCAGGGCTCCGGTAGCCTTCAGAAGACAGGGAGGAATTCTAAGTGCTAGAGGTCACCCCAAGAAAATGATCCACAGAATCGACTAACCAGGGCTAGCAGGGGCTCACAGAGACTGAACGGAGCGAGAGCCCGCATGGGTTGGAGTTAGGTCCTCTGCGTCAATGTTCTTGTGGGACTCCTAACAGCGGGAGCAGGGGCTGTCTGACTTTTATATGCTTTTGGGATCCTAGTACTAAGTTGCCTCATCCATCTTTAATATGAGGAGAGGTGCCCAGTCTTAGTCCAACTTGATATGCCATGCTAGGTCGGTTCAATATCCCTGGAAGGCCCGCCAATTTTCTGAAAGGCAACAGAGGAGTGGATCTGGAGGAGAACAGAGGAGGGGAGGGACTCGGGAGGGGAGACTGCAATCAGGATGTAATATATAGGGGCGGGAAGGGGGGAGGACCGGCCCAAGCACAACATTAAGTGTTGCAATAAAGTAAGTATGTAGTGAGATATTCACCTTGTCTGCACCTGTGGCATAGACCACGCCCATTGGAGACAGGGCCAGACCTGGGGGGAACCAAGTCTGAAGAGGGGGCTCTGAGAGCTCTCTTGCTTGCAGCATGGGGACAAGAGGACATCTGGAGGCATCCTTGGGACCAGGAACCTGCTGGTGTTCATCTGTCTATGTTGTGAGTTACTTCTCCCTGAATAAACATCCATTTGGCCTATTTGTTTCTCCTGATCCTTATTAAACATCAGGAAGAGTATCAGAGGCCTGAGGTACCAGCTGAAGATGCCGATTCCTCAGACCTGCTCTCCTTTTCTCCAGACAAGTGCTGTAGTTCTCACTGCTAAAAATATGAAATCAAGTCAAGCACGCATTGACCATCGTACACTGCAGTGACCTTCATATTCAGCTTAGCTGCTCAGAGCACAGTACTCACGGTTCTGGGGTGTAGAGGGGATCAGAGCCATGTCTCACATACTGAGTACAGTGGAATACTCTATAAGCCAGGCCAGCCAGGAAGTCTCTTGGGCTCAGGTAGCCAGCCACTGGTCTCACTGTGAAGCCAGACCGCTCTAAAGAGACAAGAGAAAGAATCAACTAAATTCACACCTGAGGGCCCAACACATGAGTTGTTAGCATAAAGATTTTCTTTCTTTTTCTTAATCTTTTAAGAACTAAAAGCTCATTTACCATTTCTGACACTTGCTGTGTATGCTTTCACCCTTTGGAAAAAAGTCTTTGGCAGAGTCATGCATGATGAATTTTTAGGGTCTCTATTATTTGTATGGATGTTGCAGAAACAAAGTCACCCAGAAACAAACTCCTGAAGAATGGATGGCATCTCCTATTAACAGAAGTCATGTTGGTGAACTCTGGTGACTGAAATAGGCTTATGCTCAGGAATGATGGTTTCCAGGGGGAAAAGATGTTCATTAATAAAGGGTAAAAGTGCATTTAGGGACTTAAATTCAGAAGCCAAATAAGAGTAAGAAAATGCATCTATGTAGGAGGAGATTATAACCTAGAATGGTGCCCACTACATAGTCCCAATTTTGTTCCCTGGAGATGCACTCTGCATGCCAGTGTTGAGTGACACACAGCTGAATATCTCCTTCCACCAATCATTTCCTCTGTAGCTCTCTGTGCAACTCCCTCCTAACATTCTGCACGGTTACTCTGTGCTTGGCACAAAGAAATCACTGTCCGTAAGTGATGCTGCTGAAGTACTGCATACTATAGTGCTTTAGAGTAGAAAGAAAAAACAAAACGTTAAAGTCGGAAACTACCATTAGCTAAATAAATCCACAGTTCATCGATGGTCTCAATTGTATTTATATATATGGCTTTTGTTGAAATACTGTGTTTTAAATGTTTATTTTAAATTGATTTTCTCTTGAGAGTACGGCTGTTTTTAGTAAAAAAAAACATGTGTTTAAAATTTCAAATATGTTTTTATAAACATACAGTCAAATGATTGCAACAGTCAACCAAATACACCTGTCTCTGCATAGTTCCATGTGTAGGATAAGAGCGCCATAAAAATCTACTCTTAGCAAATTGCCATTATGTGTCAGTGTGCCCAGCCATTGTCATGTGTAAGTTAGGTCTCTTACTCTTTGTGGACAACGGCAACTTTGTATCATTTGACATCTTCCCCACATCCATAACCACTGGCCTACTGTCTGGTTCTGTAAGTTAGGTCTCTTACTCTTTGTGGACAATGGCAACTTTGTATCATTTGACTAACATCTTCCCCACCTCAGTAACCACTGGCCTACTGTCTGGTTCTATATACCCCCAGGGTTTTCGAGTCCATGCACAATGGGGCCCTCTCTGTCTTCCTAGCTTTGGCTTTTCTCTTAGTGGGGTACCCAGGAGGGCTTTCCCCAGATGCAAGCATTGTACAGGGCCCTCCCCTTCTTCCCCACCATTATTAGAGAACACCTCAGGATGGCTGGAAACAAAAGGCCAAGCCAACTGTGTTTATAAAAACCCTGAGATTTCTATTACCAATGTAGACATACAATACTGTTCTCAGACATTCCTGGAGCAGCATTATTTGTATGCCAAGAATTTCCAACTTGGGTTGTTCCCTGAGTGTCAAAAGGATAAGTACATCATCTTTTCCTATTGCATCAGTATGGCAGCATACTCCACATGTGGGGCATGAGTTGATGTACCAAGGAACTTTGTTTTAATAGTTTTGTACTTTATTTCACATAAATTGAAAAAATACAAAAATTTGCCATTCAGAACTTTGACTCTGTATTATTACTGGCTTAGAAGTTTCTGCTTTATATAAAGGAGGTTTTTGTTCATTTTTTAATGAGTCTGTTAAAAGAAACTCAAACCCATGCACTTGAACTTGCCTCGTCTATGCTATGAGCCAGTGAGTGATTCAAAATGAACTCAACACTGCCTTGCATGAAAATAGCAACTTGAGAGAACGATATAGCAAAAAAAAAAAAAAAAAAAAAAAAAAAAAAAAAACTGGGATAATATTCTAATGCCTAAGGCTGAGAAACAAGATGGCAAAACATGAATTGTATGTATGAGAAACTGATTCCACTGTAAACAGATTGCATACTGCTGCTAACTAAGTGCAGCTGATGAGTGGCTTTCTGGCTCTTCCCAGTTACACATGCAGTGCGTTGTGGACAATGTTCACACATTCAGACGACGACTCCTCTGCAGGCAGGGCTCACTGTGGCTCTCAGAGGCCCAGCTATAAAGCTATCCTGCAGTCTTATCCACATTTGACACAGAAGGAAAGCAGAGGAGGGAACCCTGACAGCTGTCATAACCAGGAATGACAGGAGACAGAACTTTGAATCTGGAAGAATGAAATGGTAGAAGCTTGAGCTAACGCATCAGGAGCCTACAGCGAGAGCAGATCGTGTGAGACGGATGATGTGGCAGACGACTCAGCAAGAGAGCTGGGTCAGAGCCTAACCCTGAGGCTGAGCAGTTCAGACTCCCCCAAAGTCAGTTCCTAGTCATGTCTATGTATGTTCCGGGTAGTGGTGTTCATGTTGTGTGTGTCCCATTGGTGTCTGGTCTGTGTGTGTGTGTGTGTGTGTGTGTGTGTGTGTGTGTGTGTGTGTGTGTGTGTCCTGGTGGTGTTCGGTCGGTAGGGAGATATTAGTAAGCTTGGCGGACATCAGGACCAGACACCTTCCTCTGGGTCAGCCTGTAAGCCAAGAGCTGGAGCAAAGAGCACAGGTCTAATCTCTTATCACAGGGATGAGATCGGAATCATCTCTCTAATCCTGGGAGGGAGACACAAAGATCCTCAACACCCCAGAAGGTCATTAATAATTGTCTAACCTGGCTCCAGGAGGTTACAACCTTGTCAGATCTCTCTAGCAGGGGGTATTCTTTCACAGAACAAACAAACAAAAATACACATCATTGTCCCCTCTGGAATGAGTCTATCCAAACAGGCCTGTCAATCACCTGCACAGGACAAAGTCCCACAGGAAAAGCTGTTTTGTTCTGAAGAGTTTGGAAATATAAAACCCACCTAAAGCATAGATTGAAGCACTTATCCCTTCGGCCACTGATCTACTCACACCCCTCGAGGGTGTACTTTGCTTTACTGTATAATAAATTCTGTTTTCTACACTATTCTGTGTATCTCATAATATGAATCCTTTTGATGAATTATCACATTTGCCAGAGCAAATGGGGAGTCCAGACTGAGATCCCGATGGTATTACAATAGGACTTTTTAATGTACACACTAAAATGACTATATAACTGCCCACATAACTCTTTTTCCATCCTAGACCATAAAATTCAAAATACTTCTTTGATGGGAGATATCATTCTGTAAATAGGTTTCTCTTATTGGTTAATGAATAAAGCCCTGTTGGCCAATAGGAAAGCAAGAGAGGCGGACTAGGAGACGAGGATGCAGGGAGAGGTAGGAGATTCAACATGTAGGACCAAGAGCAGAGGTCCCCACCCTCTCTCCAGTAAGCAAAGACCACGTGGAAATACTTAGATTAATAGAAATGGGTTAATATTTAAGACAGAGTTAGCAGATAAGAAACTGGCCAACAGCTTTATAGCTAATACAGCGTCTCTGTGTGTTATTTGGGGCTGTTGCGGCTGTGGGACCAGGCTTACGGGAAAACTACTCGTGACACTTCCTAATCAAATAGGGATGGCGAATAAATAGGGAAGAGCAGCCTGTGCAGTCTTACCTTTCAGGAACATGGAGACATCTTCCAGCTGAGGCACGTTGTCTTCCCGATAACCACAGTACTTGGTCAGCAGGGGGAGGTTTTTCAGGTACTCCCGGCAAGCATGGGTAGGGTAGAGTTTGCAGAGCTCTCGGAACACAATGCCCCAAGTTTTAGTTTCTTCTTCTGTGTACTCCACCCTGGGAATGGGCTGGCCACTAGGCAGGCGGAAAAGAGACCAGTGAAATCTAGCTTTATACCACTAGGTCAACGCGTCTGACATTAATGCAAGCCAAGTTACACTTACACACACACACACACACACACACACACACAGAGAGAGAGAGAGAGAGAGAGAGAGAGAGAGAGAGAGCACAACTATGTGCCCAAAAGGATTCCATTTAGTACTGAAATAAATGCCAGTCTAATTCCATGTGCCTGTTTGGATCTTTCTAAGTTTTTAATTGTCACATCTTCACGTGTCCTCCTAAAAATGTGACAAGACGTGGTTTTGTGTATGCATGTCTGTCTTTGTGGTGGTGGGAAGTATGTGGATATGTATTAGTGGTGTGCACGTATACATGCAGAGTTCAGAAGACAACCTAACCTGCCCCAGCTCCTTTCCTTTGAGGCAGGATCTCACTGAACCCAGAATTGTTTTTCAGCTAGCATGGCTGATCACCCATCCCCAGGAATCGCTCTTACGTGGAGGTGGGTAACAAGTAATAGTCCGGTGTTTGGAGGGGGTGGTTTAGGTGCAGAACTCCTAGGAGGGGTCTTTTCTGCAACCACAAGACCACAATAATAAGTGTATTCTGTTAAAAATACAATTGCTCCCTGAGTTTTCTTTGTTTCTTGCCCAGAATCACCTCAATTTCCAAGTGTAATTTTGTGATTATTTGTTCAGTGCCCAGAATGTCTGGCAATTGGGAAAAGTCTATGCTGAATTTAAAAGAGTTTTCATAAACTACAAAATAAGAAACATTTATCTCAGGTCATACTAAGAGCGGACATGTGAAGCACTCTCTAATTCAAGATGAGTGTCAATGAACTTTCCAAGAAAGGGCCAGAACGTAAATATTGTAAGCTTTCAGTTCACGTGATCTGTCACAATTATGCTGCAGTACTGCAAAAATAAATAAATAAGCTATAAACAAATTGGGTAAGAAGATCTGGCTGGGTCCTACTAAGCTCCTGTTCACGGGCCCCAAAAGCAGCAGGGTGCTGGTGGCTGGGTTTATTGACAGATCATCTTGGATCAGAGCAATCATGGAATGCTCCCCAGTGGAGGCACAGCTTGAGCTGACACAAGAAGACTGCATAGTAAGTAGCAGGAGGTTCCCTGATAACATGGTAAGAGCTGATGTAACAGTAGGTAGATAGCAATCATGGGCAAAAAACATGGCTCCTAATGTCAACTGGGACCTGTGAAATAATGGGACCACTATTGTGGTTTTTTGCCAGCTATTGAGTAAGGGACTTCAATCTCAACTTAGCATCCGACTATATTATCTGTTCTGAACCCAGGTATGTCTCTAATCGCAATACTTGGGAAGCTGAGGCAGGACAAACTGGGTGCTATCACCCTAGTCTGGATTACATAGACATTTTGAATTAAGCTTGGGGAAATTCTATTGTAATGTGCTTAACAGCCTCTCCCCAAAACCCACCTTGACCCCTAAAAAGAAATTCTGTTCCTACAGTTATGGCCAAGTGCACACTCACAGACACATGCACACCCCATCTGACAGTTCTACTACATGTGCCAACCCCCAAACAAGATAGCCCTTGCCACTCAGGCCACTGCAACAGCAGGGCACTGTCAAGTAGCTGGGATCATTCTGGAGAATGCCCAAGGTTAGAACAAAGAGGAATAGGATAAGAAGAACAGACTCCCTAACAGATCTCCTCACTGGATCCCAAACCCAGCCCTCAACCTATTTTTTTTTTTTTTTATGTTTCTGTCAAAATACATTCTGTTTAACATTCAAGTCCAAATACGGTTCCTACTGTCCCCAAATTGTTTATTTTTAATTAAAATGCATGAGAAATGAGAACACCACCTACCAAAGAAAGAACTAGAAATTAACATTTGCTTTCTCTACATACCAAAAGTAGGGTTTATGTAGACCAAATTAGAGTAAGATTGGCCATGTTTAAATTTGGCTGCTGATAATATGTATGTATGTATATATGTATGTATGTATGCATATATACCTTGGCAAATATTTGTGGGGAGCTTCAGTGCTCAGTCCGAATACCCATGGTGAATTTAGAACGCTTGATATGGAAAAGTTAGAAAATACGTGAGAAATAAATGGGTAATTGGGCTGCCTCTTGATCCAGAAATTCATCTAAATCAATCTGTGCAGGGAAGGCCAATAAACTTCATAAGATCTGTGCACGAGCAGAAGGTAGAAAAGCGATGAGGCCGAAACAATCGATGAAATATTGAAAAGCCATTTGAAAAGAATCGTTAGGTCAAACTTTCCCTCTCAGTATCAATGTGCAGACACACAGCACTTCAAAGGCAACCTGACTGTAGCCAACTGGGAACAAAAGAACCACCAGTATGAATTAGGGCCAGAGGAGAAAGCTGCTAAGGTCTCCCACTGGATGAATTTCCCGCAGCACAATCTCCAGAATATGGATGGCTGCAGATATTCTCACTTTCTGCGTGCCTGCCCAGCCAGAGGAGCTCATTCACCTGCCCTCCGAAATTGTGACGACTTAAAAAGTACTGCTGGTACCCAACGCCCAGGTGAGGAGCGATTTCTCACACCACGTGGACCTCTGCTCGGGACAAGTCTTTAAATTGCTTGAAGCATCAAAAAGAAAAAGGCTAGTTTCATCCAGCTCCTAACTACTAAAAAAAAAAAAAATCCAAACTATAGAAAACATAAACTCCCATTTCCTATGTAGTCCCAGTAAGTAAACTAGTAACTATTTGTGAGTTGGCTACATGCCAGACGCTCTTTTTAGGTTTAAGTGCTGGTCCATGAATTAACCTATTTGATCCTCACAACTCCATAAATAGATACTACTATTACCATATTTCATACATAAGGAAATTGAGACTAAGAATTTGTCTAGAATCTCAGCCAGGCTTACATGGCATTAAATAGTGGTGTTCCTTGATTTTCTTATGCTGGTCAGATTAAAAATGCAACCAAGACATTAACTCATCTCACATGCTTAACTAAAATAAGGTGTTCAGGTGGATGTGTATGTGAAAATATTACCTGCACTGATGCCTACAATATTAGCATCTGTGTTCTTGGAGATCACAAAGGCATTTTCACAAATTTAAGTTGCTTAATGAGATTAGAGGTTGGACTGGGTTCCGCAACAGAATAAGCATGCACTTGGGGCCCCAGGAGTACGCAGCCATCCACACGAGTTTTTCAAATTTAAATTAATCATTATTTTAATGACATGTGGGTATTTTGCTTGAATGTATGTCTGCATGTCATGCACTGAGGAGGCCAGAAGAGGGCAGCAGATACCCTGGAGCTGAATTTACAGGAGGTTGAGTGCTGTCAAGTGGGTACTGGGACTCAATCCTCAGTCCTCCAGAGGAACAGACAGTGCTTAGTCTCTGCCTATCTCTGCTGCCCTGCGTCTTTTAATACCTTGAAACTTGGCAATCACAAAAATTTAAAGTCGTAAGAAAAATCCAAGTGTGTTGTTGCATTTCTTTGCATTTTCTGACAGCGGACAGCTACTGGTTTGGGTTTGTCTAATAATTCTACCTCGGAAGAGTGCCAGAGAGGCGCCCCAACTTTTGGGGGTCTGGGATGTAATACATACCCACATATTCTTACACATCTCTCAGTGGATACATGTTATAATGAGGGCATAACAGGCTGAGCATCCTGAACTCTGCTGCGGACTAGCGATAAAATGACTTGATCTACGTTCTAGAGAGAACACCCAGCATTTGAAGCCAGGCACGCCGTGCAGGTCCTCTCTATCAAGCAACTGCCCCACATACCACCCTTTCCACAAGACCACAGACCTCGCCTGCCAATGTTACAGGGAATTAGGACTGTAGGCAGTGTTTAATTTTTTTTTTTTTTTTTAATGGAAAAGGCAGTTTCTTTCCTCCTCCTGTCAGAAGGTTAGGTCATTTCTAAACACTGGAGACTCTGTCAAGTTTTTCTAACTTTCCCAGGGGGAAGTTCAGAGCAGTGAGCCAGCCGGTACCCACGGCGATACTGCCACCCGAATAGACCTGTCCCGGAGCAGAGCCATCATTTGGAAGACTGGGGATATAACACCCTCTTGATATGTGTCCTCTGGAATGTAAGGTTAGTATGAATTTATAGCCCTAATGCCCAGCAAGACGCAGAGATTTCTGGGAGATCCTGTGTGCTGCAAATGGGAAGAAGCTACAAGAGTCGACTCTACCCAGTTCTCTGCAGGCAGAAGACCCTACCGGATGCTTTCACCCTTTGTGAAGAGGCACCACGGGGTCCCAAAGCAACGGTGTGCCTGATCCAAAGGAAGGATCCTCAATGTGAATGTGGAAAAGACCAAGGGAGCAGATCGTCCACCCTGAACATTCTAGCCATCTTATGGAGGGGAGTATGTATGTATGTATGTATGTATGTATGTATGTATGTTCACTCCCTCCCTATCTGGTAGACAATAATCTCTCTAGAGTCAAAAGGAAAGGAGTTATTTCAGAACCCTGGCTCCAAGACACCACCAAAGCAGTAAGATCCCACACATATTTAATCCAAATAACTGTGAGGGAGAGAGGATGCTCTTCGAATCGAGTTTGAGATTAATCTTTTTTAAATGAACAGGACCAGGTCTTAAATACCCAGATGAGACTTCCCTAATAATTGGAAATGACAGGGAATTAGATGTTGCTAAGGAACTTGCTTCCCTGCAGGTAAGTGAGAATCAACACAATACAGTTAGAGTGGGAAACAGGAGTATTTTGTGTTTCTATCAATCCCAACAATATGGTATTCTTCAACAGGCTAATTACATGTATTTAATCGAATACCTAGGGAGTCTCCATTTTTTTTATAGAATTAGCTGGGATTGTGGAATTCTCAAAGGCTACGGAATTATTCATGGCTTCCTAGTTCTCTGTAGCAAAGCTGATGTGACTTTTCATAGCTTTTAGTCACTGTAGACTCGACACCCTTGTCACAGAATGACAAGCTACGGCTTCTTCAACATTGAGGGGACAGGACAAGAGGAG